AGAAATGTACTACTCGAATCGCTTAGGAGAAGAGTAGGAATACGTCTTCTCCCTCTGTTTATAAGTGTATCTTCGGAGTACCCGGAGGTTCTAGCCTCTCGGGTCTAATTTAGAATATCTCGATTTAAAATCTCCTATTCTAACTCTCTATAAACTATCTTAACTCGGTATCGGCGGTAAAGGTCTAGCCTAAACCCTCTTAAGTCGTAGTAGCCCGTTCTAGCCTATCTTAGGTACTCCCGGGCTATTCTAGGTCTGTCTTAAGATATCTATATCGCTGTCTAGTCTAGATCCTAATATTGCCTCCCCCGTTTTTGCGGTTGTCCTCGACTATATAGGCCCCTGTTTTTTTTCTTTGTTCCTAGGACAATAAGGTATTAAGTAAATAAACCTATAGAAAGTAATAGATCGTATTCGTCCGCCCTAGAATCTAATAGAGCCTTTTCCGGCGAATGCCTTCTTTTAGTATAGAAAAGGGCGTCTTTTCCTAACAATTTTCTCCTTCCTTATACTAATATTACCGCTTTCCTAAAATTTTGTAAGTAAACTATTTTTCCTACCCCCTGTCTTAATAACTCCTTCTAGGGTAACCGGGGCTTTCCGGCCTATTCTAGAGTATTCTTAGCTAATTTGAATAGTAGTATACCTATCTAATTCGTCCTGCTATAGCTACCGCCTTACTATCTAACGGTAATCTATACGTTAATTATATTAGCGTCCTTAGCTTAGCATCGGACGCCGAGGTCGTCGATACCCTTCGGTACCTCTACCTATTTCCCTACCCCTTTATAGGGACCGGTTAGACGGACCTTAATAATACCCTCTATAGTCTTTAAAATACTAGTCCCGTATCTTACTAGAAGTATACTACCTAGTCTAGCTACTACTTCTAGGTATCGTTCCGGCCTATTCTAGGGCGTCTTAGCCTAGACCGGTCCTAACCTTTCTATAGGTACCTACGGTATTCCGAGGCAGTATCGAATTTATCGATAGCCTTTGTCGTATAAACGATCTCGACGATACTACGCCTACTAAGCGCTAGGCTAACGCGGTAAAGGCTAGGACGTTTGCCGACGCGTTCTATAAGACCCTTAAGAGGTATATATCTCCCTATCGCCCCGTTCCGGGCCGTTTTAGAGCGTTGCTAACTAAGTTTAGCAAATTTCCCTCGTTCTAGAGGGTTAACAATCTTTATATCTATCTTAGTAGTCTCTAGATAGATAAGTCTAGACCCTAGGTTAATCCTATTATCGCCCGTTACCGGGCTAAGTAGGAGAGAGAGGCGCTTAGTATAGAGGGTACCCTAAAGAAGAAGAAAGTCGCCTCCGTATATATATAACCCGACTAGGTAGCCCCTCGGTCCCGACTTAAGTAGGCAAATACTACTATCCGTAGTTTATATAAGTATATTAACCGGGTAAATCGAGTTTTAGTATATATTCCCCCTATCTAGCTTATTCCGGGCTATTCTAACCTGTCTTAGGGCAAACACTCTACTAAAACCCCCCTTCGCTACGACCTCCGTAAGTTATAGCTACTAAAAGTCTCTTAGGCGATAAAGCGGACCGGCCTAAAGGCCGATAATTCTAAAAGCGATAATTCCCCTATAGGAGAGGATAATAGTAGAGATAATAATAAGTCCTCTTAGGCGAATTAGGGTTACTAGGTTATTCTAGGCTACTCTAGGCCGTTTCTAGGGTATTTCGGGTGT